TATACTGACTAATATGCTTCCAGATGCCACTGTTTTACAAATGAGAAAACTGAGGCTCAGAGAGGTGGGGAACTTCTCCAAAGACACATGGCAGATAGCTCCCGCATGAAACCCAGTCTTAAACCCTGACTCATTAGTCAGGTTTTAAAGTCTGTAGGGAGAAACCCCAGTTAGAGGTACCACTGGCCAGGCCCAAGCTTAATAGGTTTTTCCCTACAAAGGTCAGGTACAGCTCATCTGTAAGCCCAGGCTCTTCACCTCCGTGTCAGGTGGGAATGGTGGGTGGGTAGTTGTGACAGGTGAGTGTGGAGTGTGGCCAGAAGTGCTGCCCAGGGCATCTGTCGCTTTTACTCAGGCCCTCCTAGACGATCACCTTTTAACCCCCACTGAAGCAGAAAGAGCCCAGGGACCCTGTAAGCTCCAGAAGACAAGGACAGGGCCTTTGCAGCCATGCCCTGGCCGAGCAGTGCAGGACTGCGTTCCTAGGAGCCCTGCTTCACACCCCCTCTGGAATCAGTCCTCTTTGCTTCTATGGCAGGCCTCCACTACGGATGAAAACATGGGGGCACGGAAAGCCCATGTACTGATTCATTTAGAAGAATGTTTTAGGGCCAGAGAGATGGCTCCATGAGTAAAGGCTTGCTGCCAAGTCCAGTAGCCTAAATTGAATTCCTGGAATGAATGCACGTGGTTGAAGAAAAGAGCTGACTCCCAAGTTGCCTTCTGACCTCACATGTGCACTGTGGCACACGCACATCTGTGCACCTGGGTGCGCACAGAAGGAATAAATTTAAATGTAGCTGAAATTTAGAAGAAAAGAATATTAAGCATCAACTTGAAAAAAAAAAAAGCTTCCCCAAAAGTTTGTGATAACACAAGTCTAGGGCATAGGCCTTCCAAAGCCCTTGTCTTCCGTCAATGTCAAGTTGTGAGCCAGGTCTCTTCTCTTCTGCCACAGACCTTTCACCCCCTCCCGGGGGCCCCGGGGGTGCCCTTTTTTTTTTTTTTTTTTTTTTTTTTGCATTTACTAGGGTCTCCTTTCTTAGGCCTCTTGCCTAGCCTGGTACCCATTTATTCCTTTTCTTTATTTTTTAAGACTGGGTTTCATGTTGCACAGGCTGGATCCAAATTTACTATGGAACAAAGGATAACTGAACCCCTGACCCTGTCTCCACCTGGGTGCTGCACTGCATATACAGAGGGGTCCCACAGGCCTTGGTACCTACTTCTTCATAAGACCCTAGATGTTCTGGCTCTACCCCTTTGAAGCTGCCTTAAAAAGACCCAGTGACATGCCTAATGACAGTATTCTTGTTTTCAATAGGGCACAAATGTCTTTATCTGCAGTGATGTGATCTTTGGCCCTAGAGTGTGTGTGTGTCTGGGGGAAGGAGGGCTGAGCTACAAAAGGGGAACCTGCTGCTGTGTTTAAAAATGGACAAATATTGGCGAGTGCATTT